TTAGCCTGGCCCAGCCCCGGGCACCACAGCCATCTGGGGAGAAAGCCAGGCTGGAAGATTCTCTCATATTCTCTCTCTCTCTCTCTAACTCAGCCTTTCAAATAAATAAAATAAATCTTTTTAAAAAAATCTCTTTCTCTTCATTCACTGACAAGGGACCAGGTTGTGCTGCTGGCACATAAAATAGTGGCTTGGCTTTGTGGGGGAAAAAAAAAAAACTCAAATTGCTCTAAGGGAGATGGTAATTGGCCCAGCAGTTAAGACACCTGCGTCCCATATCGGAGTCCCTGCCTCCAGCTCCAAACTCCAGCTTCCTGCTAATGCAGACCCTGGGGGGCAGCACTGATGGCTCAAGGAACTGGGTTCCTGCCGCTCACCTGGGAGACCAGGATTGTATTCTCAGCTCTCAGCACCAGGTATCATGGACATTGGGAAGTGAACCAGAGTCAGAACCCTTTCTCTCTCTCTCTCTCTCTCTCTCTCTCTCTCTCAATAAACAAATAAATACATTTCTTAAATGTGCTTGACAGAACAGCCAAGGGTTTTTTAATCTGGTTTCCTTGCAGAAGAGAGAATTTACCTAGAGGCTGGTTCTCAGGGCCAGTCTCAGTGATGTGACCTTCTGCCACCACTGCCCTGCCCCATCAACCCCATCTGCACTGAGAGGGACCATGCATTTTGGCAACAAGTGTGGGCTTAGAGTCACATAGGCCTGGATTTATGGCCCATCTCGGTCGCTAGCCCCAGGTATAAACTCCAACAAGTCAGTTTTGCTCTGGGTCTCAGTTTTCCTCATCTGTAAAACAGAAAATGTTGCTGTCAGGAAGGTGTTAGGAGGAGCATAGACTCTATAGATAAAGACCCGGCACACAGGGGCTGTCCCGCAGACAGTAAACTTTACCACTGGGGCTGGTGCTGTGGCGTAGTGGGTAAAGCTGCCTCCTGCCAGGCTGGCATCCCATATGGGCACCGGTTTGAGTCCTGGCTGCTCCACTTCTGATCCAGCTTTCTGCTGTTGCCTGGGATAGCAGCAGAAGATGGCCCAAGTCCTTGGGCCCCTGCACCCATGTTCAAGAACCGGAAGAGGCTCCTGGCTCCTGGCTTCGGATTGGCGCAGCTCCAGCCATTGTGGCCATCTGGGGAGTGAACCAGCGGATGGAAGATCTCTCTCTCTCTCTTTGCCTCTCCTTCTCTCTCTGTATAACTCTTTCAAATAAATAAATAAATCTTAGGAAAAAAAAAAGACTTTACCACACAGTGGGAACCACAGAGCCAAGCAGAGGGACACACTGTCTGAAAAGGGAGAAGGGAGAGAAACCAAGGGGCAGGAGCAGAGGCAGGAACCCAAAGGAGAGTTCCAGCCGGGGCAGTGCAGCTGTGGCATGGGTGACACTGTCGAAGTGATTCGGGGGCAATCTTCTACAACACAAAAACAGCTTCTTCATTAGCCCAGCACAGGGCAAGAGATGAGAACTGACATGCCCAAGAGATTCAATGCCAGATACGGCTCCCAGCCTCGGAGGGGCACCTCTGTTAGTAAAATGGTGCGGTCTTGTCTGTGGTACAACTTACATCCGGACACCACCCTAGGCTCCAGCCCCCGCCCACCCTTGCTGGAAGCCGGGTAAACAGATGGCCCAACCACAGGTGTCAGCTCCACTCCCACCCTAAGGGGATCCGCTACTCCTATTTCCCTGCCCCCCCCCCAAAAGGTACAGCCCCAGGGGCTTCCCCCACCCCACAATAAACCTTTCCCTTAACTCCAGTGTTTGGTGTGTTTTGCAGCGGCCCGGCAGGGGTCACATCCCACAGTAGGCTCATCCAGCTCTCCCAGTACACAGCTTGGCTCACCAAGGGGCTGCGGAGGGAAGACCCTTCTGTTTCATCACTTGATGGCAATAATTACATGTCAGAAAACCGTGGTGGATGGTCACTACTTCTTTGGTTATGGGGTTATTTTAATTTTTCAATTCCCCTTTCCTAACACTTGGGTCCTTATAACTGGCAACAGTCTGAAGTCCTGAGCATCCAGAAAATCCACACGTTGTTCACCGCTTCACTCTCTTCCCAAGCTCCCTTTTCCCATGGAGATTTGGCTAGGGAGAGACCAGTGCCAGAAGGCACAGCAGAGCCTGGTGCTTGCTGTTCAGGCTCAACCGAAGTCCAAAGTCCGAGGAAGCCCCATTCGCGATGGATATCTTTCTCTCCTGCCTGTGGCCGCTCTCTGCCTCTCCCCATCTCCAGCCACACTCCCTCCTCCCAGCCTGAGACAGCTGTTCTGCCTATGGGAGCTCCGTGGGGAAAGCCAGGCCTGGCATTCCCAGGAACAAAGGAAGGAAGAAGGAAAGGTGACTTTGGCTCCTATGGTTGTTCCACATCCTGGACATTATTCCACATCCTGGGGAGACACTAGGGCCTGATGATACTGACAGTCTCCTCTCTCCACGTGGTGAAGGCCAATGCCCCTGCTGAACCCAGTACAGAACTCCTCACGACCTGGCCCAGCCCTCACAGCCCACTTGCAACTCCGTCCCCTTTTGCTGCCACCACACAGCCCAGAGTCCAGGATGAACTCCAGGTGCTGGGCCTATGCAGGGAGCTGTGCTACATCTGAAAGTATGCACCCAAGTACCGCTTCTTACAAGCTGTGTGGCTTGGGCGCATTTCTTGACTTCTCTGGGCCTTGCTTTTCTCACTGGCAAAATGTGGCTTGTGATACTTTCCTAGGCTCACGCGAAGATGAAAGGAGATGACAGGTGTCAAGCGTGTGCCACGTGAGTGAGGGCACCTCTCCCCAGGTGCCTATCTGAGGCCGGCCAGTGGGGCTGGGAGTCTGTGGGCCCCTTCAGGCATAGGTAGAATGTCCCTCACGAGCAAGCTGTCAGCTGTGGCTGGAAAGCCTGTCTCCAGACCAGCTGGCATCTCCCCCACTAATAGCTTCTTGTGCTGCATGTGTGACCTTGTGGCCTTACATCACACCTTCAAGTTAATTGCAATCTCCCACTCAGAGCTATCAAAAGGGGCTGAGCCCCTAAGGAGACAGTCTCCAGGAGACCCCCCCCAACTATCTCCCTGAGCCCCAACATACATATGTGAAACCCCCTATCCAATGGGCACCCCCAATAGGATGACCCAATGATCAGACAGTAATGCCTTAAAAACACGGGACCCTTCCTCAAAGCCAGTGTTCCGCTCGGGCACTCCCCCTGGTCTCCTCTCGGACCACACACTTTCTCCAGTTCGCTTGCCAATTGATTAAAGTTTCTGCCTCTTCCCAAATTGTTTGCTGGCTTTTTATTTCTATACTTAGCTGAGGAAAAGAACTAGCTCCGGCACCCGCCCTCCCCTCTGGGACTGGTAACACCATCCCTCCCCCTAGGCTAGATGTGGGTAGGAACAAGGGAGGGGAATCACTCATTGCTGGAAACTTTTCTCTGGTAACAGACACCTTGAGAGATTCACTTTTGTCAACAATGTCTTCTTATAAATGCAGATCACCCCTGCTTAAGCCTCCCAACTCCCATTGTATAAACTATTGAAATTTAGTGGGCACTCCAGAGTTGGCGATTTCAGTGCTGTGACTGCCTTGAGGAGCACCAAGGTTATTCTCAAATTTTTTGAGGAAGGACGCAGATGGCAAAGGAGAATGCTCAGAGCGCGGCAGCCAGGTGGTTGGAAGTCAGGGCCAGGCTGGGTGGGGAAGAAAAATGGAAGGGGAAGGGAGAAGGACAAGGAGGCTGAAAGCGGAGCAGGGGCTGTGATGCACACACATGTCTGCTTGGTCACGGCGCCTTCGGCTCTGGTGGCAGCTGGAGTGCCACTAGCAGTGGGCTGAGACATCAACATGCATTTGTCAGGCTGTCTAGTCAGCTTGCCCTGGTTCTGCCAGATGCTGCCCGGGTACCACCCCTGCGGTGTCCCCCACCAACACTACATGAAAAGGGTGGGAGGAGAAGTCGGGGAAAGGACAGAGTGACATGGCCACACATCAGAGCAGGTCACAGCCAACCGCCTCCTCCGGCTGCCCCTGCACGTGGGCACCGCATTTCCCACCCACACTCGTGTCCTCCTTCACCTCTTCTTTTTGTGTTCTCAAACCACGTAATGGGAAATGACAGATGTGTGCGCGGAGCAGGTGGAACTGCGCCCCTGTGCAGCAACAAGGAGACAGGGGTCAGAAAGGCTGGCGTTTCCCAAGTTGCAAGTGCTCGGTAGGAGCCAGGCCATGCAGGCCCCGTCTCCAAACCCCTCCTTCCTTCCAGGCCAGGGAATCAGGACTCAGGTCTTTAAGCACTACAACACCTGTGGGGGATCTCCCCTCGGGAGGCTGGGGGCCTGCACAGAGGTCCTGCTGCAGTATCCAGTCCTGCGTCTGCCAGGAGAGTCTTAAAATCATGGTCCTCCATGTTCTTATCACTTATCTGTCTAGTGAGCCAGGAGGTGTGGACATTCTCCTGACTGTAAAGTGTGTGTGTGTGTGACAGAGAGAGAGAGAGAGAGAAAGAGAGAGAGAAAGAGAGAGAGAAGACACAGAGGAAAGCGAGGCGGGGAGAGAGGAGGAGGAGGGAGGGAAGGAGGACAGCAGCAAGAAGTACTTCAAAGGAAAATCAAGGCAGAAAGGGTCAAGGACAAAATCAGGCTTCACCACTGTGGCTCAGTTGCATCTCACTGACCCACTATACCACCATCTCCAAGGGTCCAAGTCTCTGTAAGACCCAAAATAACCTCCAATACAGGCAGCATTGCTGGAAACCCACGGGGAGGCTCATCTCCACTCTTCCCAACCAGAGCACCAGGACACCCACCCCTGAGGAGCAAAGAAGTACCCCTTGGCCACCCTCAGTGCTAGTGCCAGGCACACAGATCCCAGCAGCACAGGTATACCATGAGAAGAGACCCTAGAAGTGGGCTTAGGACCCCTGGGGGAATCACAGCTACCACGAGGTCTAGAAGAGGGGTCTGGTCTAGGTGGGCACAACCACGAGGCCCACCTCTCTGCAGGGCCAGGGCGGGGCCTCTCCAGGGCTCGGCTCTGGGTAGCTCTGCCTTGACTACTCACCTTTCTCTCCCTGCAAGGTCTGCTTCGTTCCAGTTCCTATTGCTGGCACAGCCCATTCATTCATATGGACTTCTTCACCTGCAATGCAAATAACAATGCAGAAGGCACTCTGTCCTAGAGTAATGGCTCCCAACCTTGCTTTCATGGGAATATCTCCCACTGTCTCGAAAGAGAAGGCATGACATTCTTGGCAATCATCTTTACTACAATTTAAATTAAAAGATAAATGCCAGCCGGCGCTGCGGCTCACTAGGCTAATCCTCCGCCTTGTGGCGCCGGCACACCGGGTTCTAGTCCCGGTCAGGGCACCGGATTCTGTCCCGGTTGCCCCTCTTCCAGGCCAGCTCTCTGCTGTGGCCAGGGAGTGCAGTGGAGGATAGCCCAAGTGCTTGGGCCCTGCACCCCATGGGAGACCAGGATAAGTACCTGTCTCCTGCCATCGGATCAGCGCAGTGCGCCGGCTGCAGCACGCCGGCCACGGCAGCCATGGAGGGTGAACCAACGGCAAAAGGAATACCTTTTTCTCTGTCTCTCTGTCCTCTCTGTCTCTCACTGTCCACTCTGCCTGTCAAAAAAAAAAAAAAAAAAAGATAAATGCCTGTTCACCAAGGTCAAAAGGTGAAAATGACCCAAATGTCTATTAAGAGATGAATGGATAAACTCAATGTGGTATAGGCACACTTGGAATACTCAGACATATAAAGGAAGGAAATTCTAAAACAAGCTACAGCATGGATAAAATGTCACACCAATAATAATAATACAGACACAGGTGACAAATGTGGTATAATTACATTTATACCAGCTACGTGGAATAAGCAAATTCATAGAGACAAAAAATGAAAAGTGGTTACCAGAATGGGAAGAGAGGCAAATGTGGAGTTATTATATAATGGGTACCCAAGTTTCTGTTCGGGATGATGAAAAGATCCCAGCAATGGATGTTGGTGACAACAGCACAACAGTGTGAATATACTAAATGCCACTGCCTTGTACATGTAAAATGGAAAATATTATGGTATGTAGATATTGCCATAGTTTCTTTTAAAAAGATAAAATGTCACATCGTACCCCAAGGTTTTCTGCAGGAGAACGATAAAGAAGCAAAGAGACAGCCTGCAGTCAACAGTCCAAAAACGCTGTCCCCTCTGAAGAAGACAGGGGTCACCGCACAGAGAGAAGTGAGGATGTGGATGTGACCTTCCTCCCCCACCCACGGGTGCCACCGAGCTTAGACATCCTCTGCGCCCCGTCCATTGTCAAAGCGGTCTGCATCCAAGTCAGCTGTTCCTCCCCTTTTGCAGTCCTGCACCAGCAGAAGTGGAAGACAAACCACCCAAGGCCAAGGCCAAGAGCAGCTCACTGCTCACACTGGCCCAGGCAACAGAGCTAAAACCAACACCGAGCATCAGAAGCAGCCATGGTCTGAGGGTGCTTTTGAATTGCTAGCTTTCATTTAAAAATGAGATGAGCCCTCTGCACCCATGCCCCTCCTCAGTGGGTGCAGACGCATTCCTGGCACTCAGGGAATGGTGACACATGACAGATGTGACTGCAGAGGCAATTATCCCTTTGTCACTTTAACACCATTTCTAGCCAGGTCTTAACTGCCACAGTGGGAAGCAAGGCCGTCGTCTCATTAATTTGTATCTCAGTTATCTGGGCAGCTGCCTGAAGGCTGCTCTCTCCTCCGTCCCTGGAAATGTGGCACGCTTGGAGGAGTGAGACACGACACGAATGGGTGCCCGCTGCTTTCATGAAAACCCCTGGTTTCCCTCTTCAGGAAGCGCTCCCCGCCCTCCCTGCTCACTCTTTCCTCCTTGCACTTTTTCCTCAAGTTGTGGCCCGTGGGCTCCTAGCATCGGCAAAGCCAGGAGCCTTGTGAGAAAGGCAGCAGCCTGAGGCCACTGCCCAAGCCACTGGGTAAGAACCCCTGTACCTGTTCGGGGGGGGATTTGTGTGCGTCAGCATTGCCTGTGGCTGTTGAAACAGGTTGTCAAGAACTTGATGGCCCAAAACTACACAAATCCAATCTCCCAGAGCTCAGTGCACCAGGGGTCTGGACTCTGTTTCCCAGGACAGAAATCAAGGCATCAGCAGCTCTGCCTCTCGCTGGTGGCTCCAGACAAGGATCTGCTCCTTGCCTGTCCCGGCTCCTGATGACCACTGAGACTCTGTGGCTGGCCTCTTCCCATTGCCTTCTCTCTCAGCTCTTTTTTCCTTTTATAATTTTTATTTATTTACCAGGCAGAGAGACAGATTTTTCATTCCCTGATTCACTCCCTAAACGCTCACAACAGCAGGAGCAAGGCCAAAGCCAGGAACCCAGAACTCAACCCAGTTCTCTGACATGGGTGGCAGGGACCCAACTACTTGAGTCATTGCCTGCTGCCTCCTAGGTGCTCATCCGCAGGTAGCTGGAATTCAAGGTGGAGCCAGGACTCGAACCAAGACACTCCAATGTGGGATTGTGGGCATCCTAAGCAGCATCTTAACAGCTGTGCCAAATGCCTGCCCCCTGCTCTGCCTCCTGCAAGGACATTTGATGGCATTCAAGGCCCACCTGCTAGACTCAAAGTAACCCACATAGCTCAGGAATCTTCATTCAAATCCCATCTGTAAAGACTCCATTTCCAGATAAAGGAACACTTACAGGTTCCAGGGACTGGAATGTAGACATCTAGCGAGGCATTTTCCTGCCTGCCACAGTCCTGTTCAAAGTTTGGCTGTCAGCTGCCAATCAGAACACAACCAAACCTTATCAGTCATCCTTATAAATATCAAATCCAAACATAAGTAAAAAATCCAACAAAAGGTCAGCCTTCAAAACTTATATTCAGCCAAGAAGCATTGAAGTTTCAAAGGTTGCTCTGTGAGCCAAAGCCCAAAGCCTCTGAACTTCCCTGCTATTAGCGACTCGTTAAACGCAGCCCCACAGTGCCTGTCAGTCTGATCTCTGGGCCCTGAGCCCAGACCTGCCAGATCCACGTCCCCAAGAGGGGCCAGCGAATTTGTGTTTTTAAAAGGCACACTGGTTATTCCAGCCATCAGTCACATCCGAGAACCGCCTGGCCCAGCGGTCCCCATCGCTCCCTGCGTACTACAATCATTTAGGGGAATTTTTAAAATACCGAGGCCACGTCCACCCACACCAATTCAACCTGATTCTCCTTGGAGGTGGGTGTTTTCCAGAGCTCCCCATTTGATTCCACTGTGCAGCCAGGCTTGGGAACCCCTGATTTTACCTCTCCAGGCCCAGTGAAGAGAGCTGAAGACGCCAACAGACCCAGGGAAGGCACTCATTGGACTAAGCCTCTCTGGGCTGCCGCCCTCTTCACAGAGGGAAACACCCAGCAGTTAGAGAGGGCTCCAGAAGGCCAGCCCGGAGGAGCTCCCACGACCCCCCACAGAGCCCAGCCACAAGGACACTCACCACCCACTCCTGAGCTCACTCCAAGAGCCCAAGCCCAGCCCTCCATATCAAAAGGATCTCACAGTTTTCTCCTGCTCTCCACCTCCCTCCTGCTCTCCACCACCCCACACACGCTTTCTTCTGGCCCCATGAGAACAAAGGAATAAAAGTAAAGAAAAACACTTCATGTCTCCTAAGTGGAAATGTTGCCCACTCCCATGGCCCGAAGCATCTGGAAGGCCCTTCCTTTGCAGATTTGTTATCTAACTGAGGAGCCCAGGGTGAAAAGGGAATGACTCAAGGCCACGGTTCTGCAAGCCACTAGAACACAGAACATGGCACCAGAGGGAGAGCAGCTCTTCCTGCCACAGGGAAGAATTTGCTCTCCACGGAAAACTGGGCCTGTTAGAGTCGACCGCCCGAAAAACGTCGCCAAGAGACACGTCTCTTATGCAAACAGCACGGGGAAGTTTTATTGATTATCCAGCATGCTGGGGCTGTCTGATCATACATGAACAGAGCAGCCCCGAATAACCAAAGGTTAGGGTTTATAAAGGCAAAAACCGCAAAACCGGGAAGGGGAAGAGAATACACGGTTGTTAAGCGGTTGCTAAAGTCTTACAATCAGCAATTATGATCTTAAGACATAGACAAATCATATCTTCATTATTAGCCCAGGTAACCCAGGTGCAACCTTTCTACTTTTAAGCTTGAGCAATCATGCTAGGGGGTTTTTGTGCTCTGCCAAGGGTGATGTAGTGCACTGCTATTGTCCGACTATTTGAGATCATAGTTTCAGACCAGAGTCTCACGGTGGGGGGGGGGGGGGGCTTTCCCAGAATGCAGTCTCAAGTGCTCCAAAATGGAGTGCCTACTGTCAAGGTGCTACTTCACTCTGTCTTATTTTCACAGCTGCACCAGGAAGGTTTAAACCTGTAAGCTTAAGCTTAACTTTTTACACCCACACATATACAATTTTAACTCTTCATTCCCCACTCCTTGTTGTGAGGATCTCTAATCTTAGAGATTATTTGTTTTTGTCTTTTTTAATGTGACATACTGTTGTTTTACAACCATGAGTTTAACATTTTTAACTTGTTCCCGCACGAAGGTGATGAGTCTATTTAACACACAAGGTCCTATGGTTACAATTAGGAGTAAAACAATTAAGGGTCCTGTTAGGGCTGACAGTAGAGTAGTAAGCCATGGGGACCGGCCGAACCATGACTCAAACCATCCCTGTTGAGTTTCCCTCTCCCGTTGCCATTTTTCCAGTCGTTTTCTGAGTTTGGCCATGGAGTTTTTAACCACCCCAGTTTAGTCGGCATAAAGACAACATTTTTTTTTTTTTTTAGGGCCGTGCATAACCCCCCCACCATGAAAATGAGATTTAACCCCCACCTGTTTTGTAATACTGAAATGCAGATACTGGGTTGCATCTGGGAGATTGTGGAAGATTTCTCAGGCAGAAGGGGCGGGGACCTCCACCTGGCAGGTTATCAGGTAGAAGGGGGCAGGGCAGGATGCGAAGGCCAGGCTGCCCATGAAACATTGTCAGGATGACTGAGATACAGATGCATATGCTGGACACATTAGGCCTTTATGTCACACACACATAAGCTCATAACTGACTTTCTGCCTAATATTTTCCCCTCAAGAGGTAATACCCAAAATTTTTCTTTGGGATTATGGATGGAGTTCCGTTTTCTGTAACTTCTTTGAAGCTGGCATGTGGGCGTCGAGGGGATTTGGGTATTTCCTCTTGCTACCTGTCTTATGGTGTGCAACAGTGGCCTTGGAAAGACTGTGTTGCTCGGTCCAGAGGGCTGCTCAAGTCGTCCAGTGGAATGGGCTGGAAGTCTTGCCTGATGACCATTTGGAGTTCAACAGCTTTTAGTCTGTTAGAGACAAAACGAACAAGGGCATTAAAAACACACGGTGCAAAGAGAAGCATCAAGATTGCAGAAGTTAGTGGGCCAAGGAGAGGAAATAGCCAGGATTTCCGTGACCAGATGGCAGGCCAGAAATCCCAGCCCTGCTTGGCCTGATCCTGGAGCTGTTTGGCTTTTTCCAGGAAAAGTACAAATTTGGGTTTGTGCCTGTCTAGTCTGATTGACCCAGAGACATTTTTTTTTTTTTTTTTTTTATTTAGT